TGAGCATAATATTATTTAAAAAATTCAATATTATACCATATCTGGAAATTCTGTTTTTAATTTATGACTAATAATACGACAGTGCTGGATAAATTTCTCTAAAATATTAGCTTTCTTAGAAGCATGTGCTTTTGTGATTTCCTCCAATATATTACACAATTTCTTAAATTCAATTTTTGCCTCTAATGTTACACTCATTTCGTTTTTGTATCTAAAGAACAAAAATAATTCATCATTAATTAATCAAAAGATAAAATCAATGTAAAATTTCAGATGAAATGGTTCATATACAAAAATATCTAAATTTCTATGAAATATTTACATATTTATTTACAACATTTTAATTTATAGTACATGTAAAAGTTTTTATATATATTACAGATAATTATCTCATAGGTAATAAATCGTAAATTAGATAAGATTATGTATAATAATTGTATAAATTAGCATTCTTAAACTAAACTGTAATATAATTTTCAAGGTACATTCTTGCTAATAAATGATTTTCGGAATGTAAATAAATAAGATGTAAATTAAACGCAGCTTCTTTTTTTAAGTCTAAAAGATATGAATTTTGTTTAACTAAATCTCCAGGATCACTTTTAAGCACTAATTTATAGAAATGTGCAGCTGCTGATAATAAACCAACTTGATGGAATGCACGACCCATATTGTAGTATGTTTCTTGTTCACCATCTTTTCCGCGTAATTGGGAATATTTCTTTAAAAAAGCCACAGCTAAAACAAAATGTACAAAGTATGAGGTATTTATTAAAATTTGTATTATTTTCAAGTATATCTGCTATGAAAAAAATATTGAATAAATATCACAATCTCTGTTCATTAAACAAACAAATTATGAAGAGCAATTACCTTGAATCACAAGTTGATTTTTTTTATCAGACAACTTCTGGCATGACATTTGCAATAATGTTACACCAATAAGTAATGCCAATAAAGCACTGGGTATTACTTTAAACAATGAAATGTAATCATTAAGAGCATACTTGTATGTTCCAGAAACAAGACAATTGTTTGCATGCATTATATTTAAATAAGAAAATACATCTTCTCTTCCGAGGAGACGCATTATAAACCTATTATGTCTGGAATCTTCTGCTTTTTGTATAATAATGTTCAATAAATTCCAAGAATTTGGTCTTGGACAGACACGTATTAATTGTCGTACAATATTATATCCGTGATATGAATCATTATTGTAAATACAGGAAAGTAAACATAAAAACATAATGTGAGAATTCCTTTTTTCAAATCGTTTTGATGTTAATGCACTAAAACATACTCTTTGCAAGAAGCCATATCTTTTTAACGTATAAGCTAATTTACACATTTGCAATAGTAAAAAAAATTCTTTTTTTTCGCTTAATTCGGCATTATCCAAAAATGATGGTGCGTTATCTTCTTCAATCTTTTCGCCACGAGATAGCCGATGCAGCTTCAATGTGTCCAAACGTTGTCGTACAACATATGCTCTAGTTAATGTATTTAATTCAACTTTGCCTCTTATATTTGCACAATGTCTAGAGAAGAGTAACATTCCAGACTGAAAATATTCATCATATCTTTTTACTTTAAAAAGAAGTAATGTTCTTTGATAAATTACTTGTGGATCTAAAGTATCTGATTCAGGATCTTGATTAAGAACTTCTATTGCTTTATTGTATTGACCCTTTAATTGATACAGCTTAGCTAAAGCAGTTCTTGCACCTAAATGCTGAGGTGATAAATTTCTAACAACTTCATACGATTTTATTGCCTTTTTTAAGTCTTTACAACCAACCCAACATTCTGCATGTCGTAACCATACTGCTGCTAAACTATAATTATTGCTATTTACTAAAGGATCTAATAACATTAAAGAACGTTCAAATTCTCTTTTTTCCATTAAAGCTTCTGCTATGTCTAAAAACAGATCTCCAGAAATTTCTGGATTTTCACATAAATAAAATTTAGGTAAAAGCTGTTCAGCTAATTTCATCTGATCTAATTCAACAAGTGTTATAAGAAATTTTGCTTTCAAATCAACAACAACGTCATCGGGTATTCCACAACATTCAATTTCACGTGTATTATAATCTTCTAATTCCTCTTTCTTTTCATTTCCAGACTTCTTTATCACTGCATCATTAGTAGTTTTATATTTTACCCAAATACTAGTGTATGTGGTCAAAATATTTAAACATCTTTTAAACTTTTTTAATGCTATTAATATTTCAGTCATAATATTAACTTCTTCCAAAGTAATGAAATTAGGACATTTTGAAAAAATATTTTCCATTGCTTCCAGTGCTTGTTCATTATTATTCTCTTCCATATATCGTTTGGCTAACATTTTAGCATACTTAATTATATGTTCACCATCCTCAGGTTCCAACTGATGAACTAATTTTGAAAATCCTTTTAATAAAGCTCTCTTATCTCCATTTCGTTCCAAAAGTTGTGCTCGTGTTTCGTATAAATTTACATCTTTTGGATTTGCTTGAATTGCTCTATTATAACATGTTATAGCTTGTTTTATGTTTCCACTTTCCAATGACATGTTAGCTAATCTCACCCATTGATCAGAATCTTTTGGACTAAGATGTGCTGCTATCAAAGCAAACTGCAATGACTTCTCTGGTTGATCTGCTTCATATATCATTCCTAGTGTATGAAATGGTTCTGGAGCACTTGGTACTTGTCTATAGAAAAATTAAAAAATTTATATTGCTTTGTTGCTTTTATTTTGAAGTAATATATTATTATTTTGAAAAGTATTCCTGCCTTATTATTTCCATACATATTTGAGCAGCTAATTCTGTATCTCCTCTTGCAAATCTTAAATTTGCTTCACCCATAAGACCTTGTAGAACTGGAGGAAGTGTTCTTTTTTTTCGTTTATAACGTACCTGTCCTCCACTTTGTGACTTTGATACTTTAGAATGAGGTGTTTTGATTGTTTCTATTTCTTCATTCTCATAATCATTTCTATAAATAACAAGATTTATTTCTATATGTTCTATTAAGATATAAAAATCAATATTAATCTACTACCTAGAGAAATCAGTTTCTGCATTTTCTAGATCTACACCTTGATCCATTCTAGATGAATATTCAGAAAATGTTAGTTCTCCATTTAGAAACTGCTTTGTTAATTTATCTTCTTCATCTGCAGTCAATAATATATCATGATCTTCTACCTCTGCAGTAACATCCATAGCAGAATTACTTTGTTCAGAATTAACATCTGATATAACATTTTGTGGTATATCTTCAATATCTAAAGCTTTTGCTTCAACAAATTCTGCCATATCAACATTTAAGTTATTCAGAGCACTTTCATCCAATTCTTCTATAATTATTGGAGCTATTGTATTTTCTTCATTAATTGCCATGTTATTCTCCTCTTGGGATGATGATGGCAAATTGATTTCAATAAGTGTTTCTTCAACCATGTTGTTACGCACATTGAATGCCATTATAAAATTTATTTTTTATTCACAGCACAGAAC